GCCTGTTCAGATTCAGAAATTTGTTAAAAAAAAAGATAATTATCATTTAGATGCATATGACCAAAAGAAAAATAACATCGGTAAAATTGAGTTTATTCTTCAAAAACCAGCTGAGAAAGTTTGTATGTTTTTGGGAAAATAAAGGCAACAGTAGTATACCGCTGTTCGAAATTCATAAATCGATTGAGAAAAAACAAATCCGGGTTACAAACTAAAACTGAGGGAAACACATCAAATATAAGAGGAGAACTACGACACAACAGAAACACAACATTAAAATGTAACACTACGTTAGGTATGTAGTCACTCTGTAGTTCAGAAAGTTATTATATGATCTTATTGTCTTGATGGCAGAAGGACAAATTTTTCTTACAATAGAACAAAGTTTACAAACTAATCTTTGGAAAATCTAGATTCAAAACAGAAGCGTGTAATATGAAGCAGAGAAAAAGAAGCCTGTTTTTTTATTGACTGATTGTTGTTTGTTTGCATTCAGTGGCAAATATTTCATGGATATTCAGGACGAGAACAAATAGATAATAATTCAAAGAAGTAAGTTCTAAAATGGATTGACCCGGATAAAAAAGAAGAATGATTACTGCCGCTTGAAATCAAGGTATGTTGGATAGGGACAGAAAAGCCTCGAATTTATACATCCTGCACAGCCAAAAGGATTTATATGTTTATGCACCTGTCCTAAGTCAGGAGCCCGTTGTTCAGTGGTTGTCGTTTGTTGGTGTGGTTCATAAGTGTTTCTCGTTTCTTGTTTTTTATATAGATTAGACCGTTGGTTTCCCTGTTTGAATTGTTTTACACTAGTCATTTTGGGGCCCTTTATAGCTTGCTGTTCGGTGTGAGACAAGGCTCCGTGTTGAAAGCCGTAAATTGACCTATAATTGTTTACTATTTACACATTGTGACTTGGATGGATAGTTGTCTCGTTGGCTCTCATACCACATCTTCTCATTTATAAATAGCATGGGTTTCGTCATTCAAGGCCGTGTTTGGTTGTGATGCAAGGATATGAGTTTCTTCATCTTCAATGCCTTAGGGAATTCTTGGGTCTTTACAATCTGATGAATTAATGCGACAGTAGTAAATCGATGTTAAAATCTTGAAGCATCGACCAAAAAGAGACAAATAAAGATGCATAGACAGGGTAAGCGTCTCCTACTATGGATGATGTACATCATCCGACATGTCTATATCTATTTCAACTGTTAAATGTTCTGATAAGCAAAACGATGTCAGTCAACCTAATCATGCTAATGTGACTTTGAATTTGTTGGGAACACACGAAAAAAAAAGAAGACATTCATGTGTGTGCTTTTTGCAAAACCCAAGGGTCGAACGATAATAGAATTTATATTTAATTAAAACTCTTAGAATACAAGCTTTAGAATTCTGTAATTATCATAGATAAAACTGCGCTTTTGTTCAATGCTTTTAATTGCTCAGTTTTTAAGAATATTTCATTCTTAAAAAAATCAGGCATTTTGTCGGATTTTCTCCGACTTTTGATTGGTAACTTTTGCCTCTGTTGTACAGTACCTGTCCGCAGAGCTGGATCTTTAATGCGATAGTTCACAAGGTAGTAATCTATAGTAATACATGTCGCACTCTGAGCCGACCAATCATTGATCTTGCTTTTAAATGTTACGTGTTAAGCAGAGAAGCAGCAACTAATGTCATTTTTTTTAAGTCTTTGCATTGTCCAGGCTGGGAACCCAAGACGTCCTGCACTCGAAACGAGCACGCTATCACGAGACTCCCGAGGCGATTATCCAACAATGAAAAATAACTATAACATGTACTAATATTAATGAGCAATAGAAAATGACAAAATGTATACCTTATTGACATTAGAGAGTGCTACAATTAACATGCCAAATCAAATAACGGTCATATGTTAACCTCTGTACAGATACAGCAGTGTATCTGGGCATTATTCTTCATAAGAATCACATAATATCAATGCATCTTCAGCATTGAAAAAGCTAGATGAACGCTACATAGCTTGAAGGTTGGCGGCACCAATATGACAAACGGTCCAAATTCAACAGTATGCATACCGTTTCATATACATGTACCTATACTGGTATGTCGATTAAAAGTGCTTATACCACAAAGAAGCGAATTACATAACGTAAAACATCTCAGCGGGAAGAAACTTTAAAAAATACTTTCTATCTTAGTTAATCAAGATAACATAGTCTGTTTTCCTATCTGTTGCTATTCCCTTACAGGGCTACATACATAAAATTATAGTAGATCTAGATATATGAAGAAGTACTAGACAAATCATTTAATATACCTTGACAACAGTTTATATCATATTAAAATCAGACAAATATCAAGGTTAACATCTCATTAACGAATATGTATTTATTTTTGTACACTATCAAATGCTCCGTTATGCTCTGTGACAAAGTGACTACATTTCATTCAATTGTGTTGCTAACTTCATTATCATTATGTTTTAAGGTAGCGTGTCTTATGCTGTATAATGTGCTTCGTGTTTTTGAAATGTGAAAAAAAGTTGGTTTTAGGGTATCCGTGCGTCATTAAGAAACATACATAACGAAACACACAATTTTTATAAAAACATTTAGACAATAACTTTTAAAGATGGGGAAAAAAGCAGAATTTGCTAATTAGAGATAATGTTAGAATAATTTCCAGCAAACATATGTGCACAAAACAATACCTAATTACTTCAACAATAACTCTACACCTGTCATTTCACAAACCAACATCTAACCTATTGCATTCAAGATGTTCAACCACAAAAGGGAATTAGAGACGTTTACCCTCAATGTGTAAAATCCAAACCTCCTGATTGCTCATGTTCATCGTCCCAATACAAATAAACTACCACCGGTCATGTTGTTACTGGAGCCCTTGACATCATACAATGAACACATAACTTAGAGGACTGTTATCCCAAAAATCCTGAAATATCAATTCGCCAGTCCATAAAGTGGAAGAAGAACTACAGGTAACTGATGGATGCAACTAATGACAATGCCAGAAAATGGATAAAGCGCGAGCAAGATGAACCAGAATTGGACACATTATCTGAATAAATGAAAGCTAGTGCATTAAAAATCTACGACTGACAATAAGCACATGGGTTTCCAGCCTGATGTTATAGATGCTTTATTTTTTCTACAAGACAAGTTTGTTCTTGCAGCTGACAAAACCTCCAACAATATCATTTGTATACTCTCCCAAAAAAAGAAACGTAACCAGTGAAAAAAATATAATTTACTTCAAATTTTCAATATCTTTTCAAATGCAGAAATAACTATTACATTACACTGAAATTTTACACACTTGTTGTTCATACTTAAATGTTCAGAAAAATGTAAAAAATTAACCACATTGAAGTCCAAAGCGTTCATATGACGTCACTTCAAAGTCAACATATGTTGTGACCACTTTTAGTTTGTAACACAGCACGGACACGTATCAGCATAGACGCGATCAATCGACGAATACAGTCTTGTGGAGTTCGGCCTCATAATTGTTCAAGAGACTGCAGCAGTTCTTGCAGAGTTTGTGGCACTGACCTACGATTACAAACGCATTTTTCCAAATTATCCAAAAATATTCTGTTGGGTTGAAATCTGGTGATTTGGACGGCCAGGGGAGCACTGTTTCAACCTGATTGGCTTGAAAGTCAACAGTAGCACTAGCTGTGTACGGCTGAGCGTTGTCGTGTTGCAAAACTTCCCTACTGAAGTTCATAACGGGCACATGTACGGGTGGTATCAAAACCTCATCACTGTTACGAGTGGCGTTAAGGTTGCCGAGGATTTTCACCAGTTGAGTTTTTTTGGTCATTGGATATGGCACTATACATCATCACACTCCCTACGACATAATTGTCTACCTCAAGAACAGAGTTATTTGCGAAGCTCTCATTCCGGTGTCTGTTGACGCGTGTAATGCCATCTCTTCTCTGCAGCATGAATCTTGATTCATCGCTGAATCACCTCGCTTCCGGTATTGCAGGTCCCAGGACCTTTCTCTGTTGCACCATCGGACCCTTGGAAGTCGATGCCGGTGTCTCAGTACTGCGCCAAAATAAGGACGTCACACGCGTAAACGCTTTTTACGTAGATGGGTTGCTGATGTGATCCTAGATCGACTAGAACTTTGACGGTCAGCTTTTGAACCGGATTACTGATATCATTCTAAGAGTCATGAAATTGTCCTCCGGTGAACATTATATAGTCTAGCGACTGCATTATGTGATTTACAGCCGACGATGTTACAGGTAGCTGTGTTTTTCTTGCATATCGGAGCAAGTTAAAAAAAAACAATTTAACGATTGAATTCCATTAAACTGATAAGTTTCTTTTATACCCATTAAACCCGTTTAAAGATAAGGCATGAATCGTACGTGCAACTGCCCAAATAATTCCCATACATCTTCCACGTTCAACGTTATACGTGCTGAACCGAAAAGATCATGCTTGATCAACAGCCGCTATCAGAAGTTTGAATTCAATTATCGTACCTTTAAATCTTAACATGATCATGTTTTCATGTCTCAATTACGCAAATCTTTTTGAAGATAAATATTTTGAAGAAAAAAATTGGTTGTTCCCTTTCTTTTTTAGGATTTTTTTAATTTAGATTGTCCAACTAAAGAACTCGAAATTCACAGCGAAACTTGGATACCCACACCCTCCATCCATTCATGAAGGAGGACATTTTAGAAAATCACAAATCTGTAATTTTCTCCATCGGTATTAACATAAAGACGGACCATCTGTGAGTTTCTTTTGAATTTTGAATTTGAATTTGCAACTTTTATTCGAGATACAGGAGGACTTATATCCTGACACATTGTATAGAAACATGTCTTTTGTTGAAAAATATATGTTAAGCTCTAGATGATGTCTTTTAGTTACTTATATCGTCGGATTTGTGTTTTATTGACGTATAAAAAAAGTATTAACACAAATACCAAACCCCAAGGCGAAATCAAAAAGGGAAAAGTCCATGAAACCTGACAAAATAGTATATATCCCACATTTTCTCTTTTTATAATAAATATTTTACAGTGTTCGTTATGTATTTACTCATAATAAAAATGACGTACATTTGTTTAAACAATGTTTGACCTTTATTTTAAAAGTAGATTCTTATTGAATCTTAAGTTTTTATAAGTTACAATGTATTTTAAAAATTCTACGTATTAATCACACCGATCGATGATTTATAGTGGGGATTTGAGTATTCAAGCAACCATACGACACAAAAGACACACACAAATCTCTAATTGACAAGCATGTCTTCAATAGAAGACAAGTGCCATGTTCACGTGCCAATCTCTTAGACCCAACCGTCGAGTCCTGATAAGTTTGATACAAGTTATACATGAACGGTTATCATTTTCAATTTGTATCAATATCTTTATTGCCAATGTATTTTTTATTTCTTGTTTAACGATCAATGTCCGAACATATCCTCCCCAAAGGAGGTATTCTTCTGATGTTTCAGTCTCGTTGAAATCTCGTTCGGGAATTATTTCCAAAACATGTGATACAAGTGGAAAATATCAATGAATTTAAGAAATATTATGATCAATCTAAACTCTGTGAAAAAATTGTGTACTTACAATGAGTAGTTTTTGAGTCATTCAAATTGTATAACCAATCTGGTCAGTGTCATCAGCCAAAATGTGTGGGGTACAAAGAAATGATTTTACCAAAAATATATAAATCCCATATCAGAATTTTTTCAAAATTCTTAGATATATATTTTTTCAATCATTTATAACAAAGAAGTTGAAATAATATGCTTTTTTTTCTAAAAAAAGAGAAAAATCCCAAATTGACAAAATTGACAGCATGGTCAATTTGACACGAAAAAGCAACAAAATTGTGTGAAACTTTCTTATATTAACAGAAACCTATAGTTTTTTTAAGTTGAATTTATTCAGATTGGTCCACTTCGTCTTTAGTGAAAGTATGAAAAAAAGTTTACTTGTGAAACTGTGATTTTTTTCATGATAATAGCCCAAAAATGGGTAAAAATTTATGAAAAATGGAATACTTTCAAATGGCCAGAGCAAAATAAGAAGTGCACCACCAATTGATTTTTTCTTGATCAATTACTTTCTTACAGTCATATAAACCCAAAAATCAATTTAAGAAAAAAAGTTTAATTCTAGAATTTTTTGGCTCCTGAGAGGTGTACATCCTTAAGGTAATTAACTATGAAGTTGTGGTCACGCCAACTTGTAACTTCGTTTGTTCATTGTCATGTGGTCTAAATTAAAATATATAGGAAATTAATCAGGATTTGGACTCAAAATTATCTATTTACAGAACATCGAAATGTTCAATGTGACAGTTTTGGTTTTGAAGTGTTTTAACTTGTTTGTTTAACGTCCAGTATGAAATACATATAAACGCATATATTCATATTCAAAATTAATACATACAGTTGAGTCTTTTTTCATATTTCGTAATAGTATTCCACAAAACCAGTGCATTGCTGTCATTTTTTAAAATATTCAAATAAAATAAACTGCATGGTATTTTATATAACCCACTTAACACAGGTTCAAAATAAAATTTCGGCATAAACATATTTAGCTTTAAGAGCAATGATAAAAATCCACTTCCATAAACATCCTCTAACCATAAATAAGGAACATTCTTTGATGCTTTGTACATTTTCCTTACAACGTCAATTGACATTATAGAACTGTGTCCAGCACAATATGGGAGAAACTTTGTGAATGGATATTCTTCTGGTGTTATAAACCATTTATTGTTCCTTTCTCGAACCGGAATATTTTCCTTTATCGTTTTACATTCTAGAACATTGACTGTTTTTCCAGCTTTTACTTTTTCTGCCAGGTAGGGTACTACGAGTGGAATATTGATTATAATATCGTCGTCCATCTTGATTACGAATTTCGCATTTTTGCAGAAATTATTTACCCAAAACAAACTAAATATAAGTTTGTATGTTAAATTCCTGTATGAATCTATGAAATTACCTTGAATAATGTCCATATATTTATTACTTTCGTGTTCGATTTCTTGTTGAAGTGTTGCATTTTTTGTTTTTCCAAGCACAAATACATGTTCAATGCGTTTATTGTGAAAACTTAAAATGGATCCAAACGTGGATCTAATAAAGCTACGTTTAGCAAAATTGACCGGTGCAATGTGTATAAAGACTAAAAGAAAAACATGTTTGCCTTTGCATTTCACAACATTGTTAAGTAATAGTTTGTACCGATGTTGATGGATAAATGGATCCATTAGTTCATCATCAGACGCATGGTTATAAAAGCTCTCAAATTGCGGAGATACCTTTCTTCCATGAAATAATTGTATTTTCTTCTTATCGTATTTTAACTTTTCATTGCCAAAGCTGTTGTACATTGTTTGATAGTATGTTGAAAAAGAAATTATTATTGGCGTATGATGACAATAAAGAAAAAATAGTGTTAATACCCAACACACTACCAGAATAACTCTTTTTATAAACTTCATATCTTAATCCAATGAACTCTTTGTCTCTTCACTAATTTCTTCCTTCACCTGTGATGATTTTGTTCGGGTTCAAAACGTCTTTGACAGTGAATCCAGTTTATTTTTTCTTCCGCTTCCTTTATCTATTTTTCCCACTTGGTTGTTATCATTTCAGTTCCATTTTAAATTCTAATACTTATATATCTTTTTAATAATGAAATAAGGAGATATGGTACGATTGCCAATGATACAGCTATCCAAAAAACAAAGTCCAATTAACGTGAACGTAGCAAGTATGTCCTTTTGGTGAACGAACATTTAATACAAATTGAATTTGAAAAAAAACCATCTGTTTGAAAGCCCTATCAATTATGTAACTTAGTCATAAATCAAATAATGGAAAGAGATAATAAATATTCCAGTAACAATCCCAAGTAATAACAGGTTCAATATTCTGAATACTAATAAATATATGACTTTGTTTATTTTGATTTTCGATTAACTTGAATTCATGTTATTCCGACTAGAAGGTGGCAATTTGATTTAATACATATATATATATATATATAGATATGCGTAATAACATTTCAGTTTCAGATTTTATTTTAATTTAGTTTTATCAATTTCATTTATGTTGATTTGTTAACATACTTTTATTGTCTTTTGGGTTTTTGAATTATGTTTAAGAGGATTGGTGTGCGTTTGAAATGGCGTGATTTTTTTCAATACGAATTGTTTTGAAAATATACTCAAACACTCAAATACCAGCTATTTTAGAAATACATTTAAAAAATGGTGTTTCTAGTACAATTACGATTTTTAAATAATAGCCAAATCCATCTAAAGTCAACTTCGCCTGAAGGAGTTGAAACCTTAGTTTCTTAATAATATCCTAATTTCTAAAGGACAATTTAAGAAATTTTTGTTATAAAGCATGTCAGTACCGAAGATTTGACTACTGAGCTGATGATACCCGCGGGGACTGATAGTCCACCAGCAGCGGTATCGAACCAGTGCTTTAAAAAATAAAAACAACTCTTATATTAAGGTTTTCTCAGTCACGGCCATCAATCTCACTTAATTCATTCTCAAGTGGAAAGAAAACAAAGGCTTTGGTGCGACTACCTGATATACTTCGAAAGGTACATTTTTAAGTCATCATTTAACGTTAATAATTCTGGACTTTAAAAAATGAAAGAATCAATGAAGAAATCAATGAATCTTAATTTACTCCATGTATATGAAGATTTTGCATATAAAGAATGTTAAGAAACAAGTGCTTATTTACACAATAAACACAATTTCATACATTTTAAGATATATACACAATAAACACTGGTGATTGAAAGAAATGAAAATAATGTTTACCAGTCAATGTCTATTCAAAACTCAAAATTAAACATGTTTTCAAAAAATTCCTGTCTGAATTTTTTATCCATAGGGTAAACATGTAATTCATCATTCTAGAGCAGATTTAGAACTTCTTTATCATATCCGGTAGACGTACCAACACGTGTGTTTCCATATCACTTGAGTATGATTTATTGCGATGAGTGGTTGTGTTAACCCATCAACTTTTAAGTGTTGCTTTTAGTATGAATAAGGAGATAAGAACCACTGGGGAAAATGACTACGCGTAAGATATGATCGTCTGAAAATGGAAGACGCGGATTAACACGACTTTTTCGATTTTAATGGCAAACGACTTACCGATAGTTTTGTTAGTTGTTTATAGGTAGTCAATTTTTTTATTTACATTTTACCGAAAAAACGAATGAAGTGTCTCGTTTCAATGAAATAATTAATTAAGCTATGTAGCTCGTGACTAAAATTTAGGATTTCTAACATGCTTAATGATAGTCACAACTGTATTTAGGAGAAGCTAGTATCTTATCTGGCAGATATTTGAAGATATATACGCTCTTAAGGTAGTACAATACAGAAGCAACTAAATTTTATCAAAATTTCATGTTCAGCTGTTTTTGTTACTTCTACAAAACCACAGAAGAAAAAAAAGTTTCCTTATCTTGCGCTGTTAATGAGTTTTGATGATAATTAGTTTTTATAAACAAATGCACGTGTCTGACTGATACAAATAAGAACATGTGGGCAGTACTTTTTGGTTAATCAATAGAATCATTTGATAGCTTAATGACCACTGACCAGCTATAAAAATAACAGTCATAGAAAAGAGGTTGAATTCGGGGTTTATAGAAAAAAGAAGATAATGAAATCCAAATAAAAATACATTTCTATATTGGAGCTGCCAGGAGAAAAAACAAAAAAATAATTTGGAGCTATAGAGGGAATCATATATAAATGTACAGATATGAAACAAATATAATTGTACAACAATTAATGTTGCTGATGTTAATGCTGATGGTTATATCAGATTTTCTTGAGGAGAATATGTAAATATGAAGTCTTTTTAAAAGAAAACACAAATTAAAAATTTTTTTTTCAAACTACAAAAATAAGAACATTCTACTTTGTGTAAAACTACATATTTTCATTATGTACAATTATAATTCTAGAAATCCCCCATAAGAATCCTCTAGACTGACCAACTGATGCTTTTATGTACACATGCATAACTTACTTTTTGGGGAAATGTTAAAAACAAAATCTATTGTTTCATGTACTAATTGAATAAAAAATCCATATTGAAAAAAGCAAATGCAATGTGTAATTAAACTTCTGAGATCATTAATGGTTGATGTTTATCAAGGTGGGCGGAGTTTTGACCATATCAGTAGCAACTGACTTACAGCAAGGTCAATAATGATATAACTTCTCCCACCAGATCTGGTTTTTGATGCATAGGGTATGCATTTTCTTTATATATTTTGAATTGCTGAAATGGAATTCTTTCTTACTGGTCAAAACCTAATTGATTTATGATTAAAGACCAATCTTGAAGTATCCCCATGGTACATGTGTGAATGATATTGAAGTTAATGAGGTTGAAATAGGAAAATCCTTATTTATTCAATTGTGACACATACATTTTTGTCATGAAAATGTAGTTTTAAATGAAATTAGCTCATAGACGGGTGCCCCTATATGCCTGTTAAATTGAGTGATTTCTTATGAAATAAGGTTGCAAACTTAATTGAAGGGTTATGAGAGAATGGAATACAATAGGACAAATCTGGCCCACGGTTTTGGAGGTCAAACTGTGTTGCACAAGAATCTATCAAAAAAATTTGGATGCTATGAATAACAAAGAAGCTAATTTCTTTCAAATGTGGACATCAGAATCTAGCTACTAATTACATAATAATGAATCATGTTATAATTATGTAATAATGAAATTATCACCATTTGAAAGATTAATCTTTCTTCTTTCTTTTGGTTTTTATTTATGAATTTTAGAGCTGGATGAAAGAAATTACATCGGTTTAAAGTTGGCTGATTGGGGGTGAACAAATCTTTGTTTTGTGCTACCTTAAAAAGTTTCTATTGTACAATGTATTGATACCAGAACATGACACAGTCTTCAACGATGTCAGGACATATGTTTTAGTGTACATATACATCTTGTTTCCAAAAGGTTAAAGCGTTCCCAGCTTTAATTAAGTTGTGTTGAGCATTTTACAGCAATACTAAAGAAGTATTCTTCTTTTAAAGAGAAAGAAATTCTTTTTAGATTATTAATGTTGTAGACAATGTTGAAACACAACACTTAATTTCAAATATATAATTTCTTACATTTCACAGAACTAGTCAGCACTTTACATAACAATAATCAAACTAAAAGCCATTGAATCATAAGGCTTTGAAAACCTGCAAATTTAAGCGGTAAAACTAAAATCGTTTATTATTCTAAAAACTCTTTATTACAACAATTACACTTGCGCACTACCCTGTTGGCGGAAGCTGCCATGTTGTAAAGCATACGGTTTCCCGCGAATATGTATATCTATGCTGAGCCTGACTCAGCTAGCTTAACCAGGTGACTGTATCGCAATCTCGGCAAATATATAAAGAACACAACTTGTTTCGAAAATTGTAATTATAATATTCCACCAGAAAGGTTTACAAGTAGTCAGTAGATTGTTTGTGATAAATTGACAGTGATATGTCTCGATTTCCTCAGAAAATTAAATGTCGTCCAAGTTACATGTGTTGAAATATTGAAGCAGACGGTGTCACAGAAATTAAAGGCAGTCAATACGTACGGTGATGTAAGAAATCGGTCCAGTGCGATTTGTTCCGGATGATTATTAAAACATATAGTAAACATTGAATGTGAAACAGAATACTCCCCGTCTGATGTCTAATCACTATTCCAAAAACTATATACAATCGTTCTCTATGAGAAGAATCATGTCCACGATTGGGCGTGTGTAGATGGTGGCTTTTCCATTTACGATGATTCGTACTTCTGCTTTCCGGACATGTTCGTCGGAACTCTTAAATGAATTTACTATAACGCCTATCGGCCATTGAGTACGGCAAAGGTTTTTGTCCTTTAGGAGAATGACGTCTCCTTTGATGAGATCACGGCGATCTTCGGTCCATTTTCGTCGTGGTTGTAGTAACGGCAGGTACTCTTTCCTCCAACGGGACCAGAAAACACTGGCCAGAGCATGTACACGTCTCCATTCGGCTAGACATAGATCCTGTTTGTCGAATTCTCCAAGCTGATCTGAAGTGAAGATGTAATCGGTCTTTTGTGTCAATAACATAGCTGGCGTTAAGATTAACGGATTCTCTGGATCTGTCGATACCGGTACCAGAGGTCTAGAGTTCACTATTGCTGAAACTTCTGCCATTAGTGTGTTGAGCACGTCGTGCGTTAGGCTTCTTCCTGCTGCGTTTAGAAGCATAGAATCAAGAATTCTCCTTGCGATACCAATCATTCTTTCCCAGGCTCCACCCATGTGGGACGAATGTGGCGGATTGAAGATCCAAGTTGTACCAGAATTGTACAGAAAGTTCTTGAAGGGTCCATCTTCGACGTTGATTGAGTCAATCTTTAAATCGTCGATTGCGCCAATAAAGTTTGTTCCACGGTCAGATCGGAAAATCTTAACTTGACCTCTTATAGCGGCGAATCTTCTGACGGCATTAATGAAGGCTGAAGAGCTCATTTCCTCGATTAGTTCGATATGAACAGCTCTTGTCACTAAGCATGTGAAAAGAATTGCCCAACGTTTTGAGTTGGCGTATCCACCACGTGTTTTACGTGAAACAATTGTCCAGGGTCCAAAGGTGTCTATCCCAACGTTAGTAAACGGAGGTGACGGTGCAAGACGGTCCTCTGGCAAAA